TGATATCAGAAATACTCAATTCTTGCATTTGTCGGTTAATGCCTATAGTTTGGACATTGAAGCTTTGGTGTACGGATATCCGCTAAATGTAGTATAGAACAAATTGTCAGGTTTGGAATTGAGATCAGTTACATCGAGAAAGCTGCAAACTGTTATCAGAAACACTCCTGACAGACTACTTTAAAAACATGGCTAAAAATTTTTCATGCGCTTTCGTTGGTATTTAGATAGCTCCTTTCGGGCCTACATAGTATTTGTTCCGTGAAGTTCAGCTGCACATTAAGGTTCCAAGGTTGAATTTGGCCCAGTCGTTAAGTCTTTGGTTTAGTGACCTAATAGTCGCTCATCCCTTTAAAGAACTGGGGTGTGGCACACAGGTAAGCACACCTGAACTTGAGCAAGATAAAATATTGACGAGAAGAATGCTGACTCAGAATGCTCAAGACTGTCCATAGCTTTCCAATCGATCCATTAGGATACGTGTCAAGAGTAAACCGTACGATAAGAGCAAGGTAGAAGTAAGGCGTCTTGCTGATACCTCAAATCAACTGACGAGTGTCATACAGAGGAGGAGAGGATTGAAGAGGTCTGTCGGGTGAGATATCAGTTTCCGATGAATAAACATCGCTGATAAAAAGTCTTTGGATCAGCTGCAACCTTGTTCAACAGCAGATCACATCACTTGGGTCTCCGAATGAAATGATGAAGTGGGGAAAGATGATCTTATTACGAACCCGAGTAGAACAAAAGTGTGGAAGAGAAGGGAGAGCTTAGCATTAGTTGTCGAGTTTCCGGCAATGGTGTCACTCCCTCGTATGGGAGAACCCAGCTGGCTATTCCGAAAGGAAAAGCGGATAATCAAACCATACATCAGGACAATGAATGATTCGTTAAGCGTTCCATGAAGTCCACTGGAGTCCTCGTTTTTGGTATTAATAGCCCAGTGAAAGGCACAGTCCTTTTAATCAGAATGTAGTAGTTACTTTGGTCCGTTTGAAGTAGGGAATCAAAACCGATCAAAGGCTGCTTTGGTCCACCGGTGATTTGAGCTTTTGCGGATGGTAGTTCCTCTCATTCACCATCCTCCAAGTGTGAGTGAAACTTAAAGACGGAATTGTAAGAAATTTTATTAAAACGTAACACCCGAAAGTTTAGTCCTAGCCGTACCCACCAAAGATCAGTGCATTCGTGGAGTGCGTACGTAAGCTATCCTCGTTCTGTCTGTCCTGGCGCAGTCATTCTGGTTAGCTCACACGAAAGTGAGGAAGCAGTGGACTTAATCTGTGCTCTCATTAGAGTGCCTTGGTACTGCTCAACCTGCACCCCGCGGAAATTCGAACACGGAGCATTTGATATGCGAGGCGGGCGTGCTCCACTAGCGCATCCTGAATGAATTTGAGTCACCAAATATGAATAGACTAACGTGTTCACATTCGAGCGGTGCGACTTGTTTGCCTAACGACTCGAACAACGACCTGGTGACCATTCTCTTTGTGTCGGTTGACCGACTAATGAGTCAAGACTTTTCGGTTTCTGAGTTTAAATGAGCCACCAAATTTCTGAAGGTCTTAAGTATGATTATTGTTTTAATCGACGGTTTACTTAATGGGACAGCCAACCAATCATTGGTGCATAATCAGAATATTTCATCGGGTTCCCCCAAGAAGATAGACAATTTGTCAACTAAAACACGCTGACTATTCACTAACGGACGGTTGATTGTATGACCAAGTCACTAACTTGTTAGAACAAAAATCATACCTGTGGTTGAATTCACCAATCACACAAAATGACCAGCAGACGTGTAGTTCAAAGGGGATAGCCTGGAACATTTGACTAAAGAGTCACAGGCCGGATCCTACTAGGCCATTAGGATGAGTCTTAGTAGGGATCAAAGCTCTCGAGATTTAGTTACACAGTTACTTTAGAAGAGTTAAGTTATCTAGTCTGCTTTATTGAACTAACCTTGACTTGGAGCTCGCGGGCCACTATAAAGTGCGCCCATCTTTGATGCGGATCATAAGTGATACATGTCCATAGAAGGAGTCGAACCCGCAACTTTCAGCTTGGTGGAGGGGGGTGGGCATGGTAGCTCACCAGCAACACTGGATTTCCGCAGTTCACGGAAAGAAGCGACAGCACATCGGCTGTACTGAGCCATTCGACCTAGACTGATATCCTGAAGGATAAAGTATCATCGGGCTGCAGAAATTCCACACATACATAGCATCAATAAACTCCAACCATCTATCGGAGTTGGTGGGCTCTTGTTGCACTTTGAACCCAATCTGAAATGCTACCTATCACCAGTGAGTGAGCTATTAAATTTTTTAATATGTAGGTTGAATTAAACGAACAAGATGGAAACACTCTGCTCCTCACGAATCATCTCATGCGTTTCAATCTCGAATGAACAGTTTCTCTTGCTACCGAGTACGTCGCGGTTACCTTTTTCCTCAATAAATATTTGACTTCATAGTGTACTTCAGATAAAAACTAGCTCAATACAAACAGCAACTTCCTGTCCCCAGTGGTCTTGGCTGTATACTGCGCTGTACAGATTGAACATAAATAACCGATTGTTTTGCAAAACGGAGGCTGGGATGGCATGGATAAATTAATGCCTATTACATTCGTTTCTCACTCGTTAGTTGTTAAGGGTGGGGGCTTCAGCGAATTTTAACTGAATTTCTCCTTTTTACTATGTTTCAGTCGAATACGCCGTATAAAGTTATCTCCATGTTTCAAACATCGAGGTATGTTTCGACGAAACTTTTAGACGGCTTCTTCCTTTTTAGGCTACAACAGGTAGGTCTGATCGGCTAGTCTCCATCAAACATATTTCCTACTCCAGCACTCAATCTCATGTAAGTTTTAATGTTACCGGAAGACTGAAGTGGTTATCAATGATAATCTTCTGTTGGGTATGCTACACAAAAAACCTCACGTTTCTGTTGGAACATGTGTGTGTATGTGCATGGCGTTCCATCGCAAGGAGCTCCGTTGAGCCCCCAGTTCAAGATATTCCAACATGCATTTGAGTGTATAATGATTACTCATCATTTTATCGCTACTTATTTTCATCGGTGATAGTCTGAGAGAGACCTTCAAGGAGGTGTTCTCAGTTCCAACATGGTTTTTACCATAACTTGTCTATCCCAGACTGGCAATGGAAGACTGTGAGGTGGGAGATTGGGACAAACGAAGTGGTGCTAACATGTCTATGATCAACAAACCTGCTTGCTTCGTTGAGCGGAACACCGATTCAGGTTTCCGTGCTCATGCTTCTGAAAGACGCCGTCTCACATGTGTATTTGTTAACTGCGAGAAGTGTAGTTGGATAAACCATTCATGACCATTCATTGTTAAAAGACTTGTGTTTTCATCAGAATATGCCATCTTTCACCCAGTAAGTCCATACCACGTGTCTTAGTTTGTTATCTGTTGTGTAGGCTATTTGACCCGGGGTGACTCCGATATGAGCGTAACGACTGAGCTGTCCTATCTGGAACGAAAACTGGCTAACAGTAGTTAGTCAGGTGATCTGCTTTGTTCTAAAATCAACGCAAATCATGTGTTTATTCCGTCAATCCATTGGATTGTGTACCATCTCCCTTCGCCCTACCTGGCAGGTTGCCATGAGAATCAACGAATAGGCAGGTCTTTTAAGCATCTTTCTACTACCTTTCTCACACTGTTGGGTTCAATAGGCGACACACCTGCGTTATACCTGTGTCTTGAGGTCTGACATGTACTCTTGTCGTATGAGAATCGTAAAGCTGAAAATTTCCTTTTTGGAAATAAAAAAGAAAGGAGTGCCATCAACTCCAAACAGCAGAGCAAACGTCACAATTACAGTAATGAATATTCAAACTAGTGAATCGACGCACTTTATATCAGCTCGCATTATGACAGGTGATACTTGTTCGTAAAGTAATGTGGCCCTCGAGAGGACTGAAGGACGGAACATCTAAAATAGACCAATGTTTTGTATTCTCCAGGAGTCTGGCCTCTCTTCGAGGGTAGCACTTCTGGGTACAGAAGAGATCATTCTTTTTTAATCGTTTGAGCTTTGTCATGTGCATGCTATGTGTAAACGAGGAATTTTAGGCGGCTGATGGGCTGGGATGTCCCCAAAACTCTGGGTACATGGCGAATACATGTAGATTTTTAAACTTGTTCAAATTGTATTATATGGGGTACGTGCTCCAAATCCTTTGTGGTTGTCTGCGCACAGTTTTTGCAATCCAGTGTACATTGAGGATTCTGAATGAAGGACTAAAATACGAGTAATCTACTCAATGCACGTGATAAATATTGCCAGAAGGAGTTGGTCAACACCAGATCACGTGAAGTGGCTCCGCATTTCGTCTGAGCGCTGTATTATCGGATTATTGACCAAGCAACCGTAGCTGAATGGAATGATATCCAATTACTGACCCGAAATTCTCTGAATGTTGGTGAAACGCTCCATGTCGATCACTGTCAACGACAGGGTCACGGATATGTGTGTGGTGACCCTAAACTTCCCTTGCAGTGCATTTAAAAATTGAAACTATTGCAGCTTTTACACTCAAAAGCTAAAGAAGTTTCCTACCACGGAAGAATCTAGGACAGCCTGAGATGCGTTCTTTGTTGTATAGCCAAGTCATCCCGGGAAACTTAAAGTAACTGAAAAATTCACAACCAAACTTGGACGGATGCTTAGGAAATGGGTTTAATTTTGGAGAGCATTCATTGCAGGCCATTGTCAGAATGCAAAGGTATGTGTTCAGATGTCGTGCCTCATTTTTAGGGACAGTAGCCACTTGCATTCTATGGAGTTTATTGAGGTCAAAGCCTCACAGTGCATTTTCTTGCTATAGACGTTTCGAAACAACTCTGGATACAGCTCAGGATACAGCTCTGATGTGACCTTGAACGGTATTTTTTCACCATAGAAAAACAAGTTTTCTTTATTGAAGACCATCTCATCAAGCTTGCTTTTCTCATTGTTGCAGTATATGATGACTCCTGTGAACACCTATCAACAAACAATCACAACTCACCATCGCAACAGCCGGATGAGTGCAATTCATCCCAGGGACAAATTGCGGCTCAATCCCGACAATTTTACGGAATCCACCAGTCTTGGTCCCCACAATTCCCACGCAGCAACGAAGTCATTCATCATCCTCTCAGTTCACATCCAATACAAAATCGCTTGGACAGTGTTCAAAGAACGATCTCATTCATGCCTGTTCCTGTAGATCGGAGCAGTGGGGATAGTCCATCAGGTGATTGCGGACTGACGACAACCGAAGGATCGAACTCCAACACAAACGTTGGTGGTACTCTTCGGGTGAGTCAAAATGCCACATAGGAGGTGAAAGTAGTCCGTAGAACGTGAAGCAGACGAGGTAAAACACCGACAGGTTGAATTCTAAGGCCGCTAAGACTTACATATAAGTATGCGTTACGTTTGAAAAATCTGTCCATTCAGAGAACTTCAAAGATAGCAGCTCTTGAGGAGGGCAATTAAACTCCATTAACCTACAGAAACAAATCCTCTCATGAGAAACATATCGTAGCACTCCGTGGACAAATTCCAGATCTTTATGTGTAAAATCAAGACCAGTTTCGTAGATGGTGCGTTGCTCCCTTGATGACATTGCCCATGAAAATGGGGCTGCCCATATGTCACAGGAATTGTTCGTGTGGTACAAAATTATCGTTGTTCGCTTCAATTAACGTCGCAGATTGAAGTCCCACTCTATGTGGCGCCTACATTCAATGGGTATGCATTACAACAGCCTGTAATTAGTAAACTTTTAAAGTGTCAGTCTTAATTCTCCGTGTCCGAACAGTGTTTGAAAAAAGATCGCAGACTGACTCCCCCCCCAAAGCATTTGACTCTCGTATATAGCCGGTTAGGTGCGCGGAGGTGGGGTGGGGTCGAAGTTTACCAGTATGTGTTGATTAATTGCAACAGACGTCCACTTCATTAGGAGGCCAGAATTATTTTGTAGGTGTGTATGCAATCGACGCACTGATATAGTCTCCAAAATCACGGAAAGTTATCCATCTCATTGTCGACTGATAATGATATCACAGTAGAAGATCTCACTACACTGCCAACATTTTCTTACTCACAAGTTTACTGATGGAAGCGATGGATTAGAAAGCAGCTGAAAGTGTTGGGGCTCCTAGGGTGGACTCATTGTTTTCAGAGGTGGTCGTACAGTAAAACCTTCCTGGAGTGGCCGCTAGCATGACCGGTTTGAAACGGTTCCTGTAGAGTGTCCCCCACCACCGCGCTAGTCTGTGAGCTTAACTTCAAAACATTTCAGATAAACTCGGAAGGAACTTGGTGTCAAACAGAAATAGACGTATTCACACACCCACTCCACTACTGATATGATGGTGGATATTACTGATGAAAAATGAGTTGTCTATGGTTTGTGTCCAAGCTGTGCACCCCGCATCTAATGGAAGGTGGACTTTAGTACGGAAATTGTGGAACCGCTTTGCAATGTTCCTTTACTATTGTGTAATAGTCATTGAATACCCGGGAAAGTTCAGGAAGACGCGTGAGGATGTTCAGTTTTTTTATACAATATGCATATGAGATGTTTGCATCCCTGTCTAATGAATTTTAACTGCTTAGTTCGTGTTTGCTAATAAAAGACTTGGTAGCGATGGATTTTCTGCTTCCACTAGTATCGAGTCAGAATTCTTTAGCTGAATAGTCTGTCACTTGGTAATAACCGGGTCCTGGATGAGGCGTCAACTAACTGGTCGACGGACGTTCGATTCGAAGGGTCACTTGTCTAATCCATCCACACCTACGTGGCGACTTCCAGTGAGGAAGCTTTTTAGAAGTCGATGAAGTTTGTAACAAACATTTTGTTATTTTGGAAAGTGCATAACAAGGTTATAAGTTTGCTACGTTTTCTTCTGGTTATAAACCGGGCTTTGCTGCAGTTTTTATTCATCAGTTTTAGAACACAGCAACGTAAGTATGTACTGTTTTTTGCCTAATACGGTACATGACAGCTTGTAGATTGAGAAGAAAGACTGTTTCCATCCCCAGCTGTAATGTCGGTTTTACAGGTTTCGAACTGGAATACGAGAGAGGATTTTAAACTGCGGTTTTTGGTTTATCAAAGCGTCCTTGCAGCTATCGATCGATCGACTACTCATTCTAATTTATTATGGATACTTGACGGGAGTGATATTTTGTGCCTGAAAAAATTTTCCGTATGCCACTTTATGTGATGGCTTTGCTAAGACTCTATAAGGGTTTTCTCAAGAGGTCTGATGGAGGGCACAATTCTTGCTCGTGACAGAATTCTTATCAGCTGAACTTTTACGTTAAAAAGCGAGCTCCATAAAACCAGTAGGGTAGATTTGACAAGAGCCACCAAATCCAAGCCTTGTGCTCCTCCGGACTGTCTAGAATAGTTGTGCCAGGACAGGATAAAGACGGCTACAAAGAGGGATGTAAATGCGAAAGCAAGCTGAAGCTCTTCGGACTTTTGGGACGACCAATTAGCCTAGACGAACAATAACAGCACTTTCATTTATCATCTACGTGGCTAAATAGATCATCACCTTCTCGAATTACGGTGCATTGGTAGCTCCAATATGACTAAACCGGGGCACCAGCTCACCATGCTTTCCCCGTAGAAATGACCAATATATTGATGACTTTGTTCGGCTTTACTCAGAGCCTGCAAAACCACTTCTCGTAAGCTTACCTTACTCTAACCTATCCGGATGTGACGTCACCAACATCTCTTGAATGTCTATTGCATGTTTCTTCCTACTCTTGAGCAACTGTTCTACGTCGTCCACAACATTCCACCAGAGTTTCGTTTTCGGTAGAGCTCAGAAAAAGGGACATGTACTCGATCCCACCTGCATTTTATCTCCAGATGTCTGGAGAGTGTTGATGCCTGCACACACGGTGGTGATGATAATGAGCCGCGTTCACATCGTTCTTTTATTACTGTGGTAGACTATTCAGACACGTCCACCAATGTGTAGTAGGTAGACCGTCACTTGGTAGATGATGCCTCCTAGTAAGCAGTCCATCCTGTGTCAGTTTCTGGAGGATTTCTGGCACTAAAAAAGCTCAAATCCTCATTTCAGAATATACAACAACATTGTTGGTAGTGTGGGGAGATTCGGGATTTTTGTGGAGATTGCGTCCTTTAAGTGATATCAATCTATGCTGAAAAACTGTACATCTGTTTCATCCATATTGGGAATCATCAGCAGTGCGCATCTCACGAAACTCCGATGAGTCTGAAACCCACGACCTTCTGGCTAGTAGTTTGAATACTTAACAGTTCAGCCACGAGTGGCTGATCAACAGTGTGATTAACTCGTACTTAGACTTATCGCCGCTCATCCTTCAATCACGAGGTCCACATCACGCGGTCACACGTATTGACTGGCTCCTCGAGCAACGACTTCTCGGATGGAAGTTTCACTCGTCGGGTGAAGTTTATTCTTCCAGTGAGCTACTTATACTTACATCAATATCATTGCGCAGCGAATACTGTCTTTCAGGGTGGGAAGTGGTTCTTATTCGGATGGGTGCTCTTTACCACCGTTTTCTAAGACGTTTCCTTAACAATTCCGGTTCAGCCGTACATTCACAGTAGAATACAAAAGATAGTGGTATCGTACAATGTGTACCAAGTTATACACAGCAGATAATTCACAAATTTGTTTTGTGAACGGACGAGTGGGCTGGTCAGCTGAACTTCAATTGGCTCCTTATGTTCTACTTGAATTTTCATTGGAAGGCATAGTATCACGCTCCCGTAGCTCAGTGGACTGTGGTCTAGCTACCTACTTGTAAATAACGCTGTCTTAGGAACAGTGACCTTCTTTGATGGGGCCTGTTCTTGATGAATCGTTGTGTTAGTTGTGTATGTGTGGCTGAAGATCTCAGCTACGTTGCGAGCAAACTTTTATACACTATACGCAGCCATGTACCTACTCACAGATATGGCCGTCTAAGGTTTCAATTTTTCTCACTGACGAATACTCAGGATTAAAACAGTCAGTATGACTGTCATTTAGTTCAAAAACATGAATAATAAATAATCGTCCGTCTGTAGCACTTTCGGTGGCTAGCTGTCATCCCATCCAACCGAGGACAGTACGAAAAGTTAGCTAATGCCAGGTTGCCCAAACACATCAAGAGCAGCCAAGATACCATGGCTGGATTCGAACCACGGACTTTTGGGCAGTAATTTCGTGCGTTAACCCCTGAGCTATCTCGAGCTCACCTAGTGTGGCTTGGCTGTTTCCGGTTCCTTTCATGCAATCGTGCATGCATCAAACCTACTCGAAAAATTGAGGAAGCACAAACACAGTTAAAGACTGGCCAAGCTTTTTTTCTGGAACAATTTATTGTGGCAACCATTGACTAATTTTATACTGGTCATCATACTGGACATCCTGACATTATTTTGTTGCATTTTCCGGTCTGAAATCTCACGAAGTCCCTGCTTCCTCTCCCCTTTCTGCTTCCGTTGTTTGCCAGACCTCGAACATAGGCCCGCAATACATGCACAGTCAAGTTTCCTCCTATTTCCGTTCCTAGTCCCACCCCATCATCCCAATCTCTTGTGTTAGCTCCCACACGCACATCCTTTTAGTGGCCTTAGTGACTAAGTTCGGTCACGTGACCAGTCCCCCGAGGAGCAGCGGCCTAATGGTAATCGAGCGGAATGCCGGTCGATGTTACAAACGGCTGTTCGTGAATAAAGCAGAGAGCGTTTGAAAATTTATATGGTCAACCGCCAGAACAGCTGATTGGAATGATTCGAATTATGTGCGTGGCGAAGTGTAAGGGGAATAGCATGATATACCGAGTTTCCAAGCAAAACGAACTAAACGCGCTTTCGGTAATGAAAAAACTCTAACCATTTTTGTAATGTAATCTAATCTAGATGCCCTGAGTGTACACACCTTGCAAAAATAAACTGCTGTGGAGCACTATAGGTATTAGAAGGAAGGAAATATTCCTGGCTGATAGACTTGACGCCTACAAACGACAGTTCATATCTGTGGCCAGACTGTACGGCTGCATCTTGACATGCTACTTGGGCGAGCGAGAAGAATCATAAAGGAAACTACTCACAAGATTGCTGAGAACTGTTCGACAGCCCACGACCGGTTTCGCCCTTCCACTTTGGGCTCATCAGGTAGGCGCAGTCCCCGAGTTTCCGTCAACCTTATGTTCTACTTGAACCCAAATTGGACTGTTTTCGATAAATACACTCATTTGCAAATCAATTTAGTTTTCACGAGAAACGCAACTGAATCTCTTGTTTATGATATTCTATTCGAATATCGTGCAAACTGAATAATGAGGCAGCCTGTGTGCAGCACATTCAGTTGTAGAATATCACAAACGAGAGACTCAGTCGAGTCTCTCGTGAGAACCAAATTGATTTGCAAATGAGTGTATTTCTCGGTAACCAAGGTGGACTTTGCCTCAGCAACGATTAACAGCGAGCATGCTAAGAAAGCTCCGGCCGATCTGAAGCAATGGAGGCGGCTTTGGGCATTCTCGCTGCCGTGCAGGAGGTTGCATTTACCCGGTCACAGACTTGGTTTAAGAACTCTAAAAAATGCTGACCAGTATCAGTATCCCATCTCCAAGTGAGGCCATCTTCTCCAAAGCTGAATACCCCTGGGGATTACCGGTCTTATCCTTGGGACGGATTGATAGGCGAGGTAACTTTAGCGACCAAGAAAGTCTCTATATTTTCATGAACAAAAAGCTATTAAAAGTCAGTATCGGCCATCAAGTTTCTAGTCAGCACGATTCCTATTTGTCAAGCAGTGTTTAGCTCCGGCCACACTGTCTTTCTACGAACCTGATCTACTACTCATATTCTTCTTGCTGGCAGTAAATTCCTTCTGCCTTGAAATTTAACCGGAACTGAAGCGTAAACGAAAGGAGATCAAGACGAATATTTGAACCAATAAACTACAAGCGTTTTTCTGGCCCATGACCCTGATCACAGATGCATCCTTTTCAAAAATCGATTGGTCGAATTCAAACCCCCGATCAAACTAATGCCTACGAGCAAGGACAGTTGGATTCAGATCGTGAAGAAAAGGCGGGACATGGGAACAGTCTTACGGATTGCTTTAATTCTTCTTTTGACGACCGTAATCCAGAACAAGAATTTCGCGCAAATCCCAATCCACGGGGATGTTCTCGGGATTCCATTGGGGTAACGAACCAAAAGACAGTGGACTTGGATGGTCAGTTTTCATCACGATATTCGGATGGAATCCAAATGCAGATAGCTCCGCAGCTCGAGCACTACTCAGCTACTCAGTCCTATACATTCGACTCGCATGTTATGGAGTCCGAAAGTCCGCTTTCTTTGGACTCAAACAACACGACTGAAATGGACAGTGGGATCAGGATGGACAACCCCAAATTGGTAGACGGGTGTTTGACCAGTGCTGCCTCAATGGCTGCTGCAATGGTTGCTTGTGCGAAGCAGAAACGACACCGTACTCGCTTCACTCCCATTCAGTTGACTGAGTTGGAACGAGCGTTCTCCAAAACGCACTATCCAGATATTTTTATGCGGGAAGAACTAGCCTTGCGGGTGGGACTGACGGAATCCAGGGTACAGGTGAGTTTAACCTTAGATAGATTTGCACGATCGATAATTTCCGAACTTTACAAATCAGTGTAACCCTTATGCTCAAAACCGTATTTTTTTATTAGCCTAATCTTACACTTATATGTTGTTTTAGTGAGGTCATTCCAACTAATGACACTCGACATAAAAAGCTACTCATAGGCTCCTCGACAACTCAGTACCAGTTTCGTTCTTCTTGAAGCTCATCAGGTAGGTGTTGTACCTGAATTTCTCTCAACTTCCTGCTTTACTTTATTTATTTGCACACCATATTGTTGGCAATTTTAAATTACGTTAGTGTTGACAAGAGACTCAGCCGAATCTCTCGTTTACGATACTATTGTTCTGTTGAATATGCCGCTCGAAGACCGCATCATGTTTCATTCGGTGCGATGGTTAGGTCGTGCTAGTATAAATTCAGTTGAATGATATCGTAAACGAGAGATTCATCTGAGTAGCTTGTGAGCACCAATGGAATTTTCAAGTGCATGTATTCCGCCAATTTCACTTTTGAATAAAACACATGAATGAGCTGAAAAGATAACCGACTCAAGTACATTTTGGGTGTGTAGTCTTACTCCTGCCACGTGAATTTAACGCTTCAAGCTCCTTGGATTCCTGCCTGCTTTTTGAAATTTCACACTGGGGCCATTTGGCTAGTCCATTATTACTCAGAAGATTTACTGATTGTACTCAGGGCTGCTGGCTGTTGACCCATTGCTGAGAGGTGCAATGAATTGCGTTAGTCTGATGGATAATAAGGATCCTCGGTAGTTCAGGCAACAGAACTCGCATCCGGTAAAGGGGATTTCGGTCGTTCTATTTGAGCTCCGGGGCGTGCTTGTTCACTCATACTTTACTATACACTTTGAAGTCCTATTTCAAGATTCATTTCCATTATTATTACGCGGCAGAGTTCGGGTTGTCTCATAACTAATGCATGTGAAGTTTAAAAAAGGGGGAAACAACTATCTCGTGCTCTGTGAATTTACAGTGAGAACCTGTGAAAGCCACGTATTCCGCTATATGAATTATAGTCAACAACTACCTCTCCCCGATCCCCTGTTGAGTGTTGGGGAAGAACCAAAGGGTCTTTCACAAACTCGATTCGAACTAAAAGGTGTAGTGTACTCGGACAAGGTTTCACAAGGCTACCCAAATCTTAGACAGTAGAACTCCGCTCGAAAACGTGTTACCTCTCAACTACTGCACGGATCAATGCAATTCACACAATGTTTGGACTGTAAATTACCATGACCAAGAAACAGGGTTAATCATTAAAAACATAACGGTCTCTTGAAGCTTACCCTAGGAATGGAGACAAGAAGGAAATTCGAGATTCATAACACAGCCCAGTGCTTTACATCAAATTGTATGACTGATATAATCCAACCGAAATAGATGCTGTTTCGACAGTAGCATTTTTATACGTTTCGAAAAGTTTGTATTTCGTAATATTGATGTCCTTTGTAGGGGGTTCATCCAAAGAATTTAAGTAATCTTCCCAGGAAAAGAAACCATTCTACAATCTGAATGGGTTTCCCAACTGAAGAATTGTCAATTTTGGGGTCTTGTCAAAACTGGTGGCGGGTAGTGCAAGCCAATTCCACTGTTGATAATCGATGACTGCCACAATTGAACTGGAGCATATCTTTACGCGATTGTTTGCGTACATCTACTAGAGTGAGGGGAATGTGTAAACTCAGAGTCGCTGATACCAGGTTGGTAAATCAGTAATTGTCTAACGAACAGTCTCCCAACCCTGTATGCCAAGCGTCGAAACATGTTCTCTAAAACTGTCACATCTGTAACAGTATAACTGTGCCAACTAACCGTGTTTCTGCGAAGATTCTTAACCAAATGCGTAGGTTGTAGGTTACAATCGTCCCGCTGTCTGAGTTTGGACGTCCTGTTAGTTTCCCGCATGTCTACAGTGATCAGTCACTCATTGACAGTGTTCACCTATTGACCAGATGATTACCGGATCGACATTCAGCATACATCGGTAAGATGCGCAGTGCAAGGATGTGCAAGGCTTTTCGACTTTTCATCACGGACTGAGTTTATTTACTAGACCAGACACCCGTTGAAAGGCTAGAGTGTCACCAACAGGTCATACATGCTCTAATAAGCGTGAGCAAGCTCCACTTCTTCGGGCAACACCTCAAATCCAGTGCGAACCCACTCTGGTACTTTTGACGCATAAAGCTACCACCATTACAAGTTTATCGTCCTCCCAGCGTTCATTGATCCGCAATTCGGAGCTTCCCATTTCTATGAGAAGGGTATGTTCGGATGGCAGGGAAAGTCTGGCTTAACGAAACACAGTATTCTTCAGGGGTTTTACTTCAGAAAGTCTTGTGATTTCAGAAGCTGAAGCTTCTAACACAACAGTCACTTTTTGTCTGCTGATGTTATCACGTAAATGATACCTTGTGTTCTAATCTTATTTTGTGTGGTGTTACACACATACCGGTGTAACAATGGATACTACCGATGGGAGAGTATGCGAGTAGTATGTTTTCTCGTAAATCCGCTTCGCGTCTCTTGAAAAGTGAGATCTATTACTGAGTTGGTGGAGTTGCTTTGTGGCATTTGGTTGCATTTAACTAACAGTCAGTGAATATCCAGGTAAGTTCAGGAAGACGCGTTCAAGGAGAAGATGGATACTCAGTTTTTGCAAACGAGATGCTTAAAGGAGTTTTGTTTCCCTGTCCAATAGTCTGTAACTGTTCAGTTGGCATTTTATGATAAAGAACTCTGCAGAGAAGGCTTTCTTCCCTTCACCGGGACCTTTTTGAGTTGTTCGGGCATCCTGATGTGTGGTGGTCGAATCGGAACCGAAATGCCTATGTCACAACCACGCATCCCATCACTTGCCCGTTGAGGACATTCTATGGATTGTTTACCTCAGATCGCTATGACTACAACAGGAGGGAATTTGCTGCACTTGGACAACAAATAGCTTCGAAAGCAATAATCTGTGCACTACTCACACATGTAAAAGGCAACGCTGCATGGCATATGATTATCACCTCTGCATCAGTTCACGCGCGATAGGAGTCGTAACACACACAACTCGGTCAGCGGACAGCAATCCTTCCTGCAGTCGTCACCACCCTTCCTGTGACCTTGTTTCAAACACGCGACTGCTTGTCAGATTGTCCGGTAAGCTTCACAGGGTTGCGCCTCTGGAGGCCAGTCTGCTACGGAGATGTGGGTGAGGATGAGAGGTGCGAAGCACCTAATGAAGCTTTGGCTAAGTGGTTTGCGTTTACGGTGTTTACCATGAGCCATCTTTCAAAGTGGTTTAAATGGGCTAAAGTCACACAACATTCCCGTTTCCTTATTTGAATCGGTGACTCAAACTAAAGCTGCTGGTGGCCAACTAACGCTTCGAAGTTTACGTAGGTAGAAGTGTGGGTGTGGATATTTTTCGGAATTACAAAGGATGAAACATCAGTGAAATGCATCGCTCTCGTCTTCCCTTAATGTCAACTATGGTCACACGCCTTGTGGTTCGTTTCAAAACTTAATGAAGCAACCTTACTACTCACAAAATGGCAGTAAGCCGTTCGGACGTGGAAAAATCTAAGAGGATTTTGTGCTTGTTTCTGGAACAAGTTGAAGGTCAATTTGGAGAGGCCACTGCTGTCAATCCTGTGAAACATGTTCCAAAAGAGAGGCTGTGCCACTTGAAGGATGTGGGACAGAACTATTGACAACCAACTATTTTGTGCTTGGGTGTAAATGAATGCTGAATTTTCTAGTGTAATACTCTCGATTACGGACTAGTTCCTTCAAGAGGACTCAAAGCAAGGAGCTACTATTTTGTCAGTATGTCCTTCTCCATTCGGGGAAACAAAACACTGAGTAGCAATGAGGAGACGATTTCTGTTTACCGACTTTACTCGTTAACTGCCAACTTTGTTCGTCTAGCTGAGTTCGTCAGGCTGAATGACCATCCTGTCTTCAAAATGTCCTTGCAAGCTTGATTCCGATTGCTCAACAGCCGAATTGGTAGCCCCTGGGAACACGTTACACCGAAACAGTAAGAATGAATAGCAGATGAAACTAGAGGACAGGGTCTTGCAGCATATGGAACCAGAAAGCAGTTCACACTCTGAGGGAGACTTTAATTACATAAGGACAGACGTATTCTTTTTCTTTCTATTAGAGTACATACATGGGTCATACCTGGGTCATACACACGTGAACTTCTGATCATTACGTAAGCTCAGGAAGTTGAATCGGTAACATGTGTCGCTAATGTACATTCTACCAACGGGTATTCGGAGAATCCACTATTACTTTAAATGGACAATTTTATTACAACTTGAGGAAAGTGATGTAAGACTACATTGTATAAGTGAGTTTTTCAAATTTAGAATGCGTCAGAGTACTGTCCTTCCTTAGAGAACGACAGTTCTCTTAGGAAACATTACTGCACTCAAAACCAGAAAATTTGAGTGCAATACAATGAGAGGATCTACAGCACAGGATAAGAGGGGAGTTCCCTACTCGTTCAGCTTGGTGGTGTCCAACGTCCTCAGATATTTAAGCATTTCATAAATCTTCCTCATGTGAAAGCCTAAAAACAATTAGCTATTCGAAATTTGTCCTCAAGAATCTTTCGTAACCCACCGAAACTCACTGTGTGGTGCTTGTCTGGCCGTTGCCGAACAAATATACTGAGAGATATAGAAGAGGAAACAGATTACCCATAAACTTGCTGAAAAAGTTGAAAAAACTGTGACCGATTCTGCTCTTCTTGAGATCATCAGGTAGGCCCAATCTCAAACTGGCTTTCAAGTATGTGTTTCTGGAGAAATATGTACATTGTGGGTTCAAAGAGAAGATGAGGTTGACTGAAAGGAATCTCGGGGACTGTATCCACTTGCTAAGCCTAAAGAAGGGGAAAAACTGATAGTGGACAGTTGAAGAGTTTCAGTGACTTTTTAAGTAATATCTACCATGAAGGAAATATAC